GGGAGGCAGAGCTTGCAGTGAGCTGAGATCACACCACTGTACTCCAGCCGGGGCAACAGAGCAAGACTCTGTCTCTTAAAAAAAAAAAATGCTATTGAGTGGCTCCTCAGAACAGCAACATTCTGCATATCCATGTACATCTCTCCTCTTCCTCTAGTAGCAGCATGCCCTGGAGGATTTCCTTTCCCTCTTCTGGAGTGGAGGGTCATGAAGTTATGGGTAAACCATGGCATCAGCCCTTTCTACATGAAATCAGCAGGTAACTCACTTAATGCATCTTGGCAAGAACAAAGGCACCCCTAACAATTATAGTCAGACTCTGGTTAAGACATGAATGCCCAAAACTTTTTGAGCTCCCAGAACAGTTTTTTCACACTGGGAATTGCCTCATTAGGCCAAATGTAATTCTGTTGATATACTGCCTTTTTCTTGGATAACTAAGGGACGAGGAGGGAATTACTCCCATGGCTATAGCTGTCACTTACGGATCAACTACTGGGCATCAGGTATTACACTCGGTGCTTTTTTGAGAGGCAATGTAGAATAATGGTCAAGGGCACAGATTCTGTATGCAGATTCCATGGGTTCTAGTCCTAGGAAAAGTAACTCTGGGGGGTAAGTTACTTAGCCTTCCTGTCTCAGTTTCCTCATCTATAAAATGGGAAGAAAAATAATATACTACCTTCTAAGATTAATAGGAGAATTAAATGAATAAAAGCAGGTAAGAACTGTTCTAAGCAGAAGAGTGACTGATCGATAATAAATGCTCAGTCAAGAATTAGTGTTTATTTTGTTAACTAATATGCAGCTACATTTATTTCATACAATCTATATCATCATTTTAGAGATGAGGAAAACGGGTCAGAGAAGCTAAGTTGTTTGGTCAAGGTCACATAATTAACAAGTTGGTAGAAGCAGGATCTCATCTCAGACGTGACTCATACTTTTTACATGAAATGTAAAAATGTTTATTGATAGGGTCAATGACCACTTTACCAGTATATACATGACAACTCTTCCTGATACTGGGATGCCCAGCCAAAGAGGATAAGAACAGATAAAGACTCTCCTGAGTTTCCAGATCCCCAGGCAAAGTAGGTCACTCCTTCTTCTATGTCAATATACCTACACTTATCTCTGATATAGAGGTTAATATGTTTACATTGTAAACATAGTATTGCTCTATTGCTGTAAACTGTTTACAGCAATAGTCATTCACTAGCTTTCTAACCACTGAACTACTTGAAGGCAAGATCTACATCTCATGGTTAATATTTACTGAGTTAAACTCAAATCAAGGTTATTTGATAGAGTTGGGATTGAATCCAAGTCTGACTCCATGATGGACAAGAAGGGAAAGTGGGCATGGAAGGTAGAGGGGAAGAAAAGAAGGAAGGATACATGGATACATTCTCTCTCTCTCTCTCTCTCTCTCTGTCTCTCTCACCTCTCTCTCTCTCTCACACACACATACACACACACACACACACACACAGGCAAATACATATCTTTCTATGCACATACATTGGACTAGTTGAAGGTAGGGTTCTATCTCATGGTTAATATTTATTGAGTTAAACTCAAACCAAGGTTACTGGATAAATAATGGGATTGAATATACGTGTACATATTTGTGTGTGTGCGTGTGTGTGTGTGTAGTAATAGGTAATGTTTATTGAACTTTTTTTGGTACAAACCACTATTCTAAGCTTTTTATATATATTAACTCTTTATTCTCACAATAGCCCTGTAACAGAAATATTATTATTTCCATTTCACCAACGAAGAACCTGAGGCTAAGACAGATGAAATAGCTTGCGCAACAGAGTAGAAACTAGTGAGTGGTGGAGCTGGAACTGAAGTTAGCAGTCTAGTTCCAGAACTAGTGCTCTTATCCAAGCTACTTAGAGCCCCCCGACAGCAGAGCAGGCAGGGAGGGAGCCAGGGAACTGAGAAAGTGGTACAGGTCAATCTCTGACAAAGCCAAACCTCCTCATTTGCGGGCAGCTGTCACCTGTAGGTCTCTAAAAGCTGTTTTGCTTTTTCTTTTAAGTACCAATACTGACACAAGAAAGGACGTTTTAAAACAAGAATGTCATTCACAAGCCCATCCCTGGACACATTCATTTCTGCATTTTCCCTTCCAGTCTTTGATCATTTACAGACCTCTCTCCCTTTTTTTTTTCTTTTTTTTTTTTTTTGAGACAGAGTCTCTCTCTCTGTTGCCCAGGCTGGAGTGCAGTGGCATGATTTCGGCTAACTGCAACCTCCGCCTCCCGGGTTCAACCGATTCTCCTGCCTCAGTCTTCTGAGTAGCTGGGATTACAGGCACGTGCCACTGTGCCCGGATAATTTTTGTATTTTTAGTAGAGAGGGGGTTTCACCATGTTGGCCAGAGTGGTCTCGAACTCCTGACCTTGTGATCCACTCACCTCGGCCTCCCAAAGTGCTGGGATTGCAGGCGTGAGCCACCACACCAGGTGTCTTTTTTCTTTTTCTTTTCTTTTTTTTTTTTTTTTGAGACAGTGACCCGCTCTGTCACCCGGGCTGGAGTGCAGTGGTACAATCACAGCTCACTGCAGCCTCAATCTCTGGGCTCAAGTGATCCTCACAACTCAGCCTCCTGAGTAGCTGGGAGTATAGGCATGCATCACCATACCCAGTAACTTTTTTTTAGCTTTGGGTTTCAGAGACAAGGTCTCACTATGTTGCCCAGGCTGATCTCAAACTCCTCAGCTCAAGCAATCCTCCCACTTTGGCCTCCAAAAGTGCTGGGATTACAGGCATGGGCAACCATGCCCAACCCAGATTTCTCTTCAGCAAAGTTGCTAACAGAATAGGCACCAGCTTGGAATAAGTTATGAATTTTCCACATTGCTCTAGGTGCTTTGTGATTGGCAATTGCAGATGACTCCAGCTAGTTGAGCCATCACAACTTAAAACAATGTTTCCATCGTCTCCAAAATGTGGATAATACAAATAATGCCACACAGGAGACCTTCACGCACACCTTTAACTTATTTTGTACCCTTGTCTTAGAATATATTCCAGTTGTGGCCAGCTGTGGTGGCTCACACCTGTAATCCTACCTAGCACCTTGGGAGGCCAAGACGGGAGAATCACTTGAGCCCAAGAGTTTGAGATCAGCCTGGGCAACATAGTAAGACCTGTCTCTATAAAAAATGGAAAAACTAACCAGGTATGGTGTTGCATGTCTATGATCCCAGCTACTCAGGAGGCTGAGGTGGGAGGATTACCTGAGCCTAGGGAGGTGGAGGCTGCAGTGAGCAGTGATTGCTCCACTGCACTCCAGCCGACAATGAAGTGAGATACTATCTCAAAAAAAGTGGGGGGAATAAATTGCAGTTGTTATTGGGCCTTGATTTACAGCTTTCCCAAAGATTATGTGGACTCATAACATTGTGAATGTATTTAATGCCATTGAATTACACATTTAAATGGTAAATTTTATGTAACATATATTTTATCACTGTAAGAAGAAAAAGATTAAGTGGATTTATATAGATGGGTGGTAAGCTCATCTACACATTTGAGTAGATACATTGAACCCTAAAACACAAAAGCAGGGCTACAGCACCTAGAGATGGGGCCCAGGAGCTCTGGGGGTAAAAAGAACTCAAAGCTAGAAACTGACAGCATTCCAAATGAGTCAAGCTATTCACCAACCTTTTCGGAATTCGGGCACATAATGGTATGTCTTCTCTCCCAGATGGATCAAGAAGTTGGAAAGATTCCCACTAATTGCTATGGCAAAGACCAACGTGGCACATATCCAAAAGGGGCCTGCAAAGGAAACCAGAAAATTCAGAAACAAGAAAATGAAGCACAAGCCTTTAGATTCTTATAGAATTTCTTATCTTCCTCTTGAATTCATGTTAGCAAAAGAAAATGAATTTTCTAGATGGGATCAACACTTGCTTAAAGGAAATTTTCTTTTTTCAAAGGTCAAACACAACTCAGTAATTAGCTGCCTTAAAGAAGGTGGGGGGTTGGTATTCCATTCCAAAGGCCAAAATGCCTTCCACAATTGGTGAATGAAGACACTGATTTGTGTATGGCTTCTTTTATTGGAGGATCACCACCGACAAAGAAAAATTCACAGGCTTTTTATTAAACCTTCCACCAGAATACATGAAGTAAAGATTACTTCCCTTATCTAAGTGCCAAACGTTAGCATCACAGAAAAAGAAGTGAAATCAGACAGAGCTTCTGCAGCATACAGAAAGAGCAGGGCAAGCAGAATCCACGAGGGCAGAGTCGATGAAACCTACCAGCTCACCACGGCCGTGTTGAGTGTGAGTGTGTGTGTGTGTGTATGCTTAAGGCTTTTTCTTTTTTTTAATGAAAAAGTAATACAATGCACTATATACACCTACTATGTACCCACAAAAATTAAAATAAAAAAATTTTTTAAAGTAATACATGTATATGGTCCAGTGTTTCAAAAGGTACAAAGAGAATATGGAGAACAGCAAGATCCACTCCCTCTCTGTGCCCTGGCTCTGTATCGTTCCTCCCTAAAGCTCACCAAGTAACCTGTTTCTGATGAAAACTGCCAGGAATATTCCACTCATGTACATAAGCAAATGCATATGTGTGTATGTGTACACTTTATACAGATAAGATACATACATGTCCTCCTGTGTACCCTGCTATTTTCACCTTAATATAGCCTGGAGAGTCTATCACAGCTATGCATAAAAATCAGCTTATTCTTTTTTAATAGTTTTAAGATATACCACTGAGCAGATGAGTGGACCATGTTTTGCAAATCTCTTACATTATTTGCATGATTTCATGAATACTATCCTTGTTTCTCCCCATCTAGAAAAAGTACTATGTGGAACAAATACAATCTTTAGATTGAGAGATTTTAATAAATTACATGAATGTCATTTTTCAATTTCACTAATATTTTGCAACACCCTTTGGGATAATTTCAGGTACCCTGACACGTCACAAAATTAAGAACATTACTATCATAGGCGACATGACTAGCAGAAACAGATTAGTACTTTTCAAAGCCAAGCACTGGCTTCTGAGTGTGGGAAAAGGAACACAAGCAATCAAATGGGGTGCTTCAAAAAGTCACCAATATTAGCTCTCCACAAACTGTCTCTTTACTCACTAGACGGAAAGCTCTCTGCTGTAGCCAAGGACTAAATTTCACAGTGTTGTTCTGAGGGCCCACACATAAGAGTGGCAAAAAAAAAAAAAAAAAAAACACCACAAAACCCCTATAGCCAAAAAGCTTTATTGAATGAATGAATAAAACTGACCATGTGTTATAGATGAGCTGAGACCATCCAAGCATATGACCACAAGTGGCCAAAATATTAACTTACGATACCCATATAACTAGAAAACCAAGAATATCATGTCCTCTCAGTCATTATTTACTAAGTACCCACTACCCTCTACTGGGGACACGATGATGTGGAACAGAGACACAGTCACTGCCTCTAGTGCATCCATGCACTTCGGGGAGACAGTCAATAAAATATCTAATCTCAGAGGGTAGTACAGGGTGCCTATGGGAGCAGATAGGGAGGGTACAAAACCTAGAGAAAGGTATGTGTAAGCTGGGATCTAAAGAAGAACAGGAGTTCACCAAGTGAGGACTGAAGAGAGGTCCAGGAAGAGGGAACAGCAGGAGCAGAGACTCTGAAATAAGAGGTAACAGTTCAAGGCCAAGTTTCAGGTCAGGAGTAACCAGAGATTGAAGAGATGGGCCAGAGTCAGATCATGAGGGGTCTTAGAAGCCCTGTTGAGTTAGGAATTTATCTTGAGGGCAACAGGAAGCCTGTGAACTGGGCCTGGTGGCATAAGCCTGTAGTCCCAGCTACTCAGGACACTGAGGTGAGAGGATCACTTGAGGCTAGGAGTTTGAGGCAGCAGGGAGCTATGATTATGCCTCTGAATAGCTACTGTACTCCAGCCTTGGCAACACAGCAAGACCTCATCTCAAAAAAAAATGATGGGGGCGGGGGAGAACGCAGTGGCTCACACCTAGCTCACACCTATAATCCCAGCACTTTGGGAGGCCGAGGCAGGCAGATCACTTGAGCTCAGGAGTTCAAGACCAGCCTGGGCAACATGATGAAACCCTGTCACTAAAATATTAATTAATTAATTTTTTTAAAGGCAGGCTGGTATGGGAAGATATTTATACTAATTTGAAGACCTGTCTAGCATTCTCTAGCTGCCCCATGCTCTAAGTTACCTAACAACTCTGGCACAGGAACAGTTAGAGAAACAATATTTTCAGGTGGCCTGAAAGGTCCAACACCTGCACACCCACCACCTCTATGTGGCCCAATGCTCATCCTTGGACACAAGCAAGAAAACCTTCCCAGCCCTCAGCATTTTTGTCCCTCTCCTATTATCATCCCTCTCCCCTGTTTGCAACTCTTCAGTGAACCTCCACTGCTTAAGGACAAAATCCTAATTGCTGAGGCTGATATAAAAGGCCCCAGAATCTGGGCTCTGTAACTTCTCCAGCTACCCCCAGCAGAAGGCTGGACTCCAGAGACATACGACACCCACTCATCCCAGGACCCGCCATGTTGCTTCATACTGCCTCCTCCCTGTTTCTTGCCAAATTCCTACTCTTATTATGGGATGGGGGTGGGAGAGAGCCTTAATTTAGGTTGTATTTATATTTAAAATTTCATATGATGCATTTTTATATTATGAAATTTCTAACATATAGAAAAGCACGAAGAATAACACAAACACTGGTTACCTATCATGTCACTTTTAAAAAATATTTTTAGGCCGGCCGTGGTGGTTCACACCTACAATCCCAGCACTTTGGGAGGCCGAGGCAGACAGATCATTTGAGGTCAGGAGTTCGAGATCAGCCTGAACAACATGGTAAAACTCCATCTCTACTAAAAATACAAAAATTAGCTGGGTGTGGTGGCCCATGCCTGTAGTCCCAGCTACTTGGGAAGGCTGAGGCAGGAGAATCACTTGAACCCAGGAGGTGGAGGTTGTAGTGAGCCAAGACTGCGCCTTTGCCACTCCAGCCTGGGTACCAGAATGAGACTCCATCTCAAAAATATATATATATTTTTAATGGTGTCATACTATTTATATCCTTCCACAACATGCTTTTTAAAATCATTGTGCTGAGATTTATCTATATTTATGCTTTTAGCTCTCGTTCATTTTTTTAAGCTACAGAATTCCATGTATGAATACAGTAGTATAATGTATCCATTCTCCTGCTGATGGATATCTCGGTTGTTTCCAAATATTTGCTATTACAAGCAATACTGCTACAGTGAATAATATTCTTCTATATGTTGTCCCATATATATGTGAATTCCTCTAAAATTATCTACCTAGGAGTGAAACTGCTGAATTATAGGGTATGAGCATCTTCAAACTGCTCCAATTTGTGTACCAGTTACCTGCCCACCAGTTACACACCCACCATACAAAAGTTTCCACTGCTCCATATCCTTGACCACACTTAATATCAATGTTCATGAAATCTGACTTAGAGTGTGTCACTCCTGGCTTGGTGCAGTGGCTCATGCCCGTAAGGTCAGCACTTTGGGAGGGTGAGGCAGGAGGACTGCTTGAGGCCAGGAGTTTGAGGCCAGCCTGGGCAACATAGTGAGACCCTGTCTCTACAAAAAATATAAACATTAGCCCGGCATGGTGGCACATGGCTGTAGTCCTAGCTACTCATGAAGATGAGGTTGGGGAGGATAGCTTGAGCCCGGGATTCTGAGGCTGCAGTGAGCCATTATCGTGCCACCATACTCCAGCCTGGGCAACAGAGCAAGATCCTATCCCAAAAAACAAAAAAGTATGTTACTCCTCTGTCCAAACCCTCCGATGGCTTTGCATTCAAGCAAATGCCAAAGTCCTCACTGTGACTTATGAGACCTTACCTGCCCCTCCACAGTCTCTCTCACCTCATCTCCTTCTAGGTCCCCATGTTCACTCTCATCCAGTGCCAGTAGCCTCTTGCTGTTCTTTGAACGTACTAGGCAAGCTCTTACCTCAGGGCCTTTGCACTTGCTGATCCTTCTGTTTCAAGTGCTCTTCCCTTAGATCTATCTACATAAATCACTCCCAATTACTTCAGGTCATTACTCAAAATTCACCCTTTTAAATTTTCAAATTCATACATTTATACAAACACTTCATGTCCTTCTTCTCTCTGCTCTTAAATTTTCACCTAAGCATTCATTACTAGAAAACTATATATTTTACTTTTCTTTGCTTATTGTTAAGCTCAGTACATTACAAATTGCCTAAGGGTAGAGATTTTTATCTCTTTTCACTGCTGTATCTCCAGTATTAGAACAGTAAGAGCTCAATGTTTGTTGAATGAATTGAATGAATAAATGAAGACAAGCCAAATTGTATATGTTTACTAAAATGATGAGCATAAATAATCTTATTTTACTTTTTATTTCCCTGGTTGCAGGTAGGGCTAAGCATCTTTTCATATATTTATTGGCCATTTTTTCTCCAGAGTTGCTTGTTATTATTCTTGTAATTTGTGGGAGTTTGACATATATTCTTGTTTCTCACTGTTTGTTAGTTACATGCATTGGAAGTATGTCCCCTGGTCTGTGGTTTATTTTTTTACTTTGTTTATGGTTTATTTTGTTGTGTAGAAATTTTAAATTTTAGTTGAAATTCAGTCAAAGTTATCAATCTTTTCCTTACACTCTGTAAATTGTCATCTTTTTCTTTTTTTTTTTTTTTTTTTTTGAGACGGAGTCTCGCTCTGTGGCCCAGGCTGGAGTGCAGTGGCCAGATCTCAGCTCACTACAAGCTCTGCCTCCTGGGTTTACGCCATTCTCCTGCCTCAGCCTCCCGAGTAGCTGGGACTACAGGCGCCCGCCATCTCACCCGGCTAGTTTTTTGTATTTTTTTAGTAGAGACAGGGTTTCACCGGGTTAGCCAGGATGGTCTCGATCTCCTGACCTCGTGATCCGCCCGTCTCGGCCTCCCAAAGTGCTGGGATTACAGGCTTGAGCCACCGCGCCCGGCCAAATTGTCATCTTTTTCTTAACTGCCTTCCTCTAACCTCCACCCACAACAAAACCTAATCCTCTCTGCTGTCAAACACTTCACCTATATTGTACCTTCTTCTTTTAACCATGTCTATGAGCTAATGAGGCTACTAGTGTCACAGAAAAGAAGCAAGCCTTGGATTCAAGCCCTGGCTTTGTCATGAGAGGCAGCATAGCACAGTGATGAAAAAATGGATTATGAGCTACCGTGTTGATTTGAAAATTGAGCCCAGCACTTATTAGCTGTATAATCTTAGGCAAGTTACTGGACCTCTGTGTGACTCAGTGTCCTCATCTATAAAATGGGCATAATAATAGTATCTGCCTCATAAAGTTGGATCTGTCCAAGGATTAAATGAGTTAATATAAGTACTGCCCTCATAATAGTGTCTGGCACATAATAAGCACTATATGTGTGTTTGCCATTATTATTGCTAACTCTGTAACTACGAGCAAGTTATCTCCTTAACCTCAGTTTTCTCTTTTGTAAGATAAGGCCACCTTGGAGTATAGGAAATAAAATAGCATAAAATACTAAAATAGTGCTTATCTCCACGCTTGGCACTTATAAGGTATTCAACAGATGTTAGTGTTCTCTCTTCTTCCTCACTGGGGCTAGGGACTATGGCCTTATCTTTAAATCCTCAGCCTCTAGCGCAGGGCCTAGCATAAAATAAGGTGCTAAAAATTGTTTGAGCACCTGCTGTGTGCCAAGGCCTCTGCCAGGCACTAAAGACACTGACACACAGAGCCTGCCCCTCAGGATGTTCTCAGGCTACAAGTAAGAACGAATGAGATAGACAGCGACACCCGCTTGACAACCCTCAGATGAAAAGCATGGGCCAATGCAATGGTTTTCACACCAGGCTCCCTAGAGTCCATATTTAAAATCAACATATATGACTGCTTTACTATTTATCATTTCGGATTCAGCATATATATCAATGATCCTCACTGAGCATCGGCTTCCTCATTTGAAAAGTGGGGATACTTTGCAAGGGTTGTTGCAAGAATGAGATATGATCAAGTACACACACAGTCTCTGGTATAGCACCTGGCACACGGACAGCACTCTCTTCTCCCCTCAAACACAGGCCACTGTTGGGGCCTTTTCCTCAGGAGTACTGGGTGGACCTCTGAGTTTTTCTCAGACAGCATTAAGGTCAGGGATGACAACCATCCCTGGCCCAATCCTGTTTCAGACTTCCACTGCTGGCGACCAAATCCTAAAAGGAGCCAGCTCATCTGAGGGCAGAGCTGGAACTCAGCATATCAATGAAAAAGTGTGAGAATACTTTCTCCTCCAACATCAAATGGTCCAACCTCCACTTAGTCAAAGTGACTAAATTTGTTTGTCTCAAGTTCTAATGTCATTTGAAGAATTTTTTTTTTAATTATTTTTATTTTTATTTTTTAGTTGAGACAGGGTCTCCTTATGTTGCCCAGGCTGGTTTCAAACTACTGGGCTCAAGCAGTTCTGCTGCCTCGGCCTCCCAAAGTGTTGGGATTACAGGCAGGAGCCACTGTGCCAACCCAGCCTTCAGTAGAGACAGGGTCTTGCTATGTTGCCCAGACTGGTCTCAAACTCCTAGTCTCTGGTGATCCTCCCATCTCAGCCTTCCAAACTGCTGGCATTATAGGCATGAGCCACTGCACCCAGCCCCATTTAAAGACCTTTGAAAGATATACTAGTACTTGTAATGACGACATGGCACTAATATAACACATAATTGTATTTCTCCAAAATTATTTCCAAGAGTTGCTACTGAAGTTCAGAAGAGTCAAATAAAACATGGCATGTCCTACCAATAGTGCAGTTCTCCACGTTTCCAGGCAACCCTCACACTCACCCAAGTCAACTGAAATATGGTAAACAAATCAGTACTACACATACCATAGAGATCTGGATTGCTGCGGATATACAACCTCACAAAGTTTTTCCCGGGTATTGGCAAAAGAGACCCTTTAATTCTGTCAAAGACCTGGAAAACAACATAGCAGTAATTCTACTGAAGTTTTTTAACTTTAATAAATTCAACTACTACAAAACTGAAACTCATTCATTAGAGCTTTTATGACAGTATTTTCAAATGCTAATAACCCTTTACTTTTGTAAGACCATTTCCAGCATATAAAGGCTTTCACATTATTTGGTTGTTCAACCATTGAAGAAACAAGTCTCTATTACACGTAAAAGCGAAGGTGAAATTGGTTTCCAAACCTGGTAGGTGTCCACATCAAAGAATGTTTGGTAGTATTCAAATGTCCAGAAGGGCGAGCTTTTCTTCTGTCCAGCAAGTAACTGTCAGAAATAAAATAAAACATAACGAACACATAAGCAATTTCTTAATTCCAGCTGCGTGGGGGTGCAGGAGGGATCTGATCTAATGGAAAATCAAAACATTTGAAACAATAGGCTCATCTGCATTCAGTAACTAACTCTGAAATAGCCAATTCACAACTCCCAGCCTGATTCGAAAAACAAGCATTGGTTTTGAAGTCACACCAAAAGGGTTCAAATCCTGCCCCCCGCCACTGACGGGAGCTTTGGCAAATCACTAGACTCTTGTCAGGCTTAGTTCCCTCATCTAGATTCAATAGTATATAGAATTATGTACAACAATAAATACATATACATACATACAACACATACAGAAGGCAGTCAGTGTAAGTATCTTTTCACTTTTTTTTTTTTCTTTTTTTTAGATGGCATCTCACTCTGTTTCCCAAGCTGGCGTGCAGTGGCACAATCATAGCTCACTGCAGCCTTGAACCCTTGGGCTCAAGCAATCTTCCCGCCTCAGCCTCCCAAGTAGCTGGGACTACACGCATGCACCACTATGCCCAGCTGATTTTTTAATTTTTGTAGAGACAGAGTCTCATTATTTTGCCCAGGCTGGTCTCAAACTCTTGGGCTCAAGTGATCCTCCCACCTCAGCCTCCCAAAGCACTGGGATTACAAGCATGAGCCACTGCACCTAGCAGTGTAAATATCTCTTCCTCCCCAATCCATCCACAATCCTCCCTACTATTGCCACCTGAATTCTCAAAAATCTGATATATTGACTCACTCTAAAGTACTAAAAATATTACTACTCTGACAAAAAAAAAAAAAAAAAAAATTCCAATTGAGAAGAGGCACACGAGGAGGGCCACACCTATCCCAATAACACAGCTCTTTGGTAGCAGAATGCAGGCCCAATGCCAGGAATTATGCCTGTCATCTTTTTGCTGTATGAAGGGAATTCATACAGCAAAAAGTACAGGTGAACACTGAGCTGCTTTGCACGACAAGGGCAGGTGCTATAGGCAGATATTCTTTGTTCATTATAAAGGAAAATGTATGGCCGATTAGAAGCAGCTGTGGTCCACAGTACTCACAGAGAGGAGTGAAAGCGTTGAATGAATCCAGCACCTGCAACTGAAATATCCAGGTTCTTGCACTGGGACTGACTAGGCAAGTAGCTCGACCCATGGAGAATGAAGAAAAGCAGGGTGGGGCGATGGCTCACTAAGGAGCAGCATGGAGACAAAGGAACACCCACCCCCCACAACCAAGGAAAGCATTCCCCTTGAAAACCAGCACAAGACATGGATGCCCTCTCTTATCACTCCTATTCAATAATATTAGAAGTTCTGGCCAGGGCAATCAGGTAAAAGAAAGAAATAAAGGGTATTCAAATAGGAAGAGAGTTAAGTCAAATCACCTTTGTTTGCAAGACGACATGTTCCTATATCTAAAAAACCCCATGGTCTCAGTCCCAAAGCTTCTTAAGCTGATAAGCAACTTCAGCAAAGTCTGAGGATACAAAATCAATGTGCAAAAATTGCTAGTATTCCTATACACCAACAACAGGCAAGCAGAGGGCCAAATTATGAATGAACTCTCATTCTTTTGTATGAATGAACTGCTACAAAAAGAATAAAATGCCTAGGAATATAGCTAACAAGGGAAGTAACGGACCTCTTCAAAGAGAACTATAAACCACCACTCAAAGAAATAATCAAATGAGAAAACATTCCATGCTCATAGTTAGGAAGAATCAGTATTGTGCAAATGGCATACTGCCCAAAGTAATTTATAGATTCAATGCCACTCCCACTGAACTACCATTGACATTCTTCACAGACTTAGAAAAAAACTATTTTAAAATTCATATGGAAGCAAAAGAGAGCCCAAATAGTCAAGACAATCCTAAGCAAAAAGAGCAAAGCTGGAGGCATCATGCTACCTGACTTTAAACTACAAGGCTACAGTAACCAAAACGGCATGGTACTGGTATAAGAACAGACACATAGACCAAGGGAACAGAATAGAGAACTCAGAAATAAGAATGCACGCCTCTAACCATCTGATCTTCAACAAATCTGACAAAAACAAGCAATGGGGAAAGGATTCCCTGTTCAATAAATAGTGCTGAGAGAACTGGCTAGCTATATGCAGAAAATTGAAACTGGACCCCTTCCTTATATGATATGCAAAAATTAACTCAAGGTGGATTAAAGACTTAAATGGAAAACCCAAAACTAAAAAAACCCTGGAAGAAAATCTAGGGAATACCGGCTGGGTGTGGTGGCTCATGCCTGTAATCCCAGCCCTTTAGGAGGCCAAGATGGGTGGATCACGAGGTCAGGAGTTCGAGACCAGTCTGGCCAATATGGTGAAACCCCGTCTCTACTAAAAATACAAAAATTAGTTGGGTGTGGTGGTGCACGCCTGTAGTCCCAGCTGCTCGGGAGGCTGAGGCAGGAGAATCGCTTGAACCCAGGAGGTGGAGGTTGCAGTGAGCCGAGATCACACCCCTGCACTCCAGCTTGGGTGACAGAGCAAGACTCCGTCTCAAAAAAAAAAAAAGAAAGAAAGAAAAGAAAATCTAGAGAATACCAATCAGGACAGAGGCATGGGCAAAGATTTCATGAAGAAAACACCAAAAGCAATTGCAACAAAAGCAAAAATTGACAAATGGGATCTAATTAAACTAAAGAGCTTCTGCACAGCAAAAGAAACAATCTTCAGACAGAACAGACAACCTACAGAATGGGAGAAAATTTTTGCAATCTATCCATCTAACAAAGGTCTAATATCCAGAGTCTACAAGGTACTTAAGCAAATTTACAAGAAAAAAACAACTCCATTAAAAAGTGGGCAAGGGACATGAACAGATACTTCTCAAAAGACATACATGTGGCCAACAAACATATGAAAGAAAGCTCAATATCTTGATTTGAGAAATGCAAATCAAAACCACAATGAGACACCATATCATGCCAGTCAGAATGGTGATTATTAAAAAGTCAATAAACAACAGATGCTGATGAAGTTGCAGAGAAAAGGGAATGCTTTTACACTGTTGGTGGGAGTGTAAATTAGTTCAACCATTGTGGAAGACAGTGTGGCAATTCCTCAAAGACCTAGAGGCAGAAATATTATTTGACCCAGCAATCCCATTACTGGGTATATACCCAAAGGAATATAAATCATTCCATTATAAAGATACATGCACATATACACTCACTGCAGCACTATTTACAATAGCAAAGATACGGAATCAACCTAAAAGGCCATCAATGATAGACTGGATAAAGAAAATATGATATATATATATGTGTGTGTGTGTGCGCACGTGTGTGTGTGTGTGTGTATATATAGATACAACCATGGAATACTATGCAGCCATAAAAAGGAATGAGATAATGTCCTTTGCAGAGACATGGATGGAGTTGGAAGCCATTATCCTTAGCAAACTAACACAGGAACAGAAAACCAAACACCACATCTTCTCACTTATAAGTGGGAGCTGAATGGTGAGAATACATGGACACAAGGGAGGGAGAGCATCAGGAAGAATAGCTAACGGATGCTAGGCTTAATACCTAGGTGATGGGGTCATCTGTGCAGCAAACCACTGTGGCACATGTTTACCTATGTAACAAACCTGTACCTCCTGCACATGACCCCTGAACTTAAAAGTTGAAGAAAAAAAAATTAAGAAAAACATTTTCACAATTAAAGTCGACAATGGCAGCAACTGCCTTACATGGTGGTAAACAGCAGCCCATTCCTGGAGGTATTCAAGCAAGGGTTTTCAATCTTTCTTTTTTCCAGAGGCAGGGTCTCACTCTGTTGCCCAGGCTGGAATGTAGTGGTGCAATCTCAGCTCACTGAAACCTCCACTTCCTAAGCTCAAGCAATCCTCCCACCTTAGCTTCCCGAGTAGCTGGGACTACAGGTGTGCACCACCATGCTCGGCTAATATTTTGTATTTTTTGTAGAGCAGGAGTTTCACCATGTTGCCCAGGCTGGTCTCCAACTCCTGGGCTCAAGTGATCTGCCCGCCTCAGCCTCCCAAAATGCTGGGATTATAGGCGTGAGCCACCACGCCTGGCTCCAAGTGTTATCCTTCCTACACAGTCAGGAATATCTTGGGAGAGACGCTAAGACAGGGGGCCATGAAGGTTCTTTCCTACTCCAATATTAGAAAATGCTGAGCATGGAAGTCCCGCATTCCATAAGCTAGGCTCTCTGCTCACTACCCCAGTGTTCCCCTCCACCAGTGTACTTACAAATAATAACGGTCTGCTTGTCTGTTTCCCCCACCAAGGAAGAGGCCATGTGTCATTTACCTCTGAGCTGTCACTGCCTGACACTATACCTGGCACACAGTAGACAGTGAATAAGCACATAAACAAGTTTTAAAAATTGTTCAAAAAAGATCTCAAAGACAAGTTCAAACCTCAGTTTTGTCAGAGTCATCATTTCCCAGTAACTCATCATCTTCTTCTCTTCCTGAGCCTCTTGGGGGTCCTGGCTGATGTTTTGGGGTTTCACCAGGATCCTCAATGTTTACTGTGGTGGCATCTGGGTTTGCTGCCAGAGAAGTGGCTGCAATGCCAAATTCTGAAATCAATTAGAGCACAAGGGCCTCAGAAACCTTACCCACACTAGAAATGCTATATTTTCAATTTAAAGACAAGCTGTCACAACCTCAGCTTTGCTATAGACCCTACCTGATACAAAGGGCAAAAGCTTTGGAAAAAAAAAAAAATCTCATCAGGAGATCAATCTGACAGAAAAATGACTATGAAGACAACAGAATTTGGAGTCAGACCTAGATTTTGGTCCTGGCTCAGCTAGCCACTTACTAAATAAACAAGCCTAAGTAAGTAACTAAACTTCTCTAAACCTCAGTGTTTTCATCTGTATCATGGGTAGAATAACATTTATTTTGAATACTTTTGGGAGAATTAGGAATATAACCTAAGTCCTAAACTTCTCTTGATTCAAGTCCAAAAAATATTAATGAAAGTTATTTTTTCCAGTAAGTCTACATAATCACTACAGAAAATATGGGAACAAAAATGAAAGTGGAATCAGCCGGGCACAGTGACTCATGCCTGTAATCCCAGCACTTTGGGAGGTTGAGGCAGGCAGATCATCTGAGGTCAGGAGTTCAAGACCAGCCTGGCTAACATGATGAAATGCCGTCTCTACTAAAAATACAAAAATTAGCCGGCTGTGGTGGCGTATGCCTTGTAATCCCAGCTACTCTGGAAGCTGAGATAGGAGAATCACTTGAACCCAGGAGGCAAAGGTTGCAGTGAGCCGAGATCGCACCACTGCACTCTGGCCTGTGTGACAGAGAGACACTATGTCTCAAAAAAAAAAAAAAGGAAAAAAGAAAATAGAAATCACAGGATAAAAATCACTCTTAGGCCAGGCATGGTAGCTCATGTCTGTAATCCCAGCACTTTGGGAGGCCAAGGCAAGAGGACTGCTCGAGCCCCAGAGGTAGAGGCTTCAGAGAGCCGTGATCATGCCACTGTACTCCAGCCTGGGCAACAGAGTAAGACTTTGTCTCAAAAAAAAAAAAAAAAAAACCCAAAAAACAAAAAAACACTCTTAGTTCCACCATATAAAGGCAAACACTATTAACATTTTAGTATATTTCCTTTTCTTCACATAGTGAGATTCATGCCACTGATGATCATTCGTTTATTCAACAGATATTTACTGCATGCCCCCAATGTGCCAAGTACTGATCTAGAATATGATACTATAATTAATTTTGCATCCTGCTTTGTCAAGACTATGTATAATTCGGGATTATACAAAAAAAATGATTTTTCATATTATAACAGTCTTTTAAAATGATCACTTATGTGACTGCATAATATTCCATCAATGAAGATTTTATTACAAATACAAAAGGAGTGTCTGTGTAGAAAAAGCTTTTTGGGGGGCAGCCTTAAGATGAACACCTATCAGTATGATCACTAGGTCAACAGGGTGCAAACCATTTTCAAGGCTCCTGAACCACGTTACTAAACTGCTTTCCAAAAGAACCTTCCCTATTTATGTCCACCAGCAGTGATTGAGACTTCCTGTCTCTGAATATCCTAACATACTTTATTTCAGCTGCTCCTGAATAAAACTCAGGGCAGCTCTGAACCTTTGAAGGCCAAAGGAAGAGTGCCAGCAGGGCACCACTATAACACTACAAGCAGGGCACCAGTCCTGGTAGTAGGACAACTGAGTTCACTCTTATTGCCTCTCAACTATATGAGTAATTTTATGGAGAACACTAAAGTTATCTGAACTTCTCTGACTGAAATTAACTGGGTAGCTAATATGTAACAATTACTGAAGCCTCAATTGGCAATGTTTGGGTAGTTTAAGCAACATGAGGTTCTGGAGTGAGATGGTCCTTTGTTCAAGGTAAGACTCTTAATACTCAGTAGCTCCATGACCTTGAGCAAATTACTCCATGGCTCTGAGTCTCTACTTCTTCAATTATAAAACATAGATAATACCTACCCCACAAAGAGATTTTGAGGATGATGAAATAGTAACTATCATTACAGGTACCTCTTATTGATTGTACAGGGCAATGACATTTAAAAAGACAGTCACAACTTTGCTGGAGGGAATTAGACCAATGAGGATATACTTAAGTCTCACAATCAAAAAGCAGTAGTTAAAATAACCAGAAAAGTATAACTGAAGCTGGGCATGGTGGCGCACACCTGTAGTCCCAGCTACTTGGGAGGCTGAGGCAGGAGAATCGCTTGAACCTAGGAAACCGAGGTTGCAGTGAGCCGAGATCACGCCACTGCACTCCAGCCTGGCAACAGAGTGAGACTCTGCCGAAAGAAAGAGAGAGAGAGAGAGAGAGAGA